ACGGCTGAGAAATCCATCCACAAATACTCCGCTGCTGCGCCGTGACCGTAACAATCAGGATTGGGCCCAGCGCGAACGTAGTGTTAACGTGAGCGAAGTCGTTTTTGGGTAACGGTCACGGCGCAGTATATTTGGGTCCGAATCGACTAGAAATTCGATCATTCGAATAAAACTTTCGAATATATTCGCATTCGAAATTCGATATTCGGAGTTTTTTCCACTTTCGAATATTATTCGAAACTAGAATAATTGAGATAACGGGGTTTCGAATAAAATTCGAAACTCGAATAATCAAAAAACAAGGTTTCGAAAAAAATTTGAAACCTCGAATCAAAAAACGAGGATTCGAATAAAATTCGAAAACTCGAATAATCAAAAAATAGGGTTTCGAATAGATTTTAATCGAATTTTTTATTCGAATGTTCTATTCGAATTCGTATTCGAATGAAGTCCGTAATCAGATTATTCGAGTTTGTTGCAGAGCCAAATGCTGAGTATCAAGCTCGCTTTGTCTGCGATTTTTCCCGCAAAACTCGGTAATGCATCTTTTTGCAACCGTGATGACCTTTGAACTGTATGAGAAGTCGCATTTCTTCGACTGCTTGCACAGTAAAAAAAATGTGTGGATTTTGACTTATTGCTATTTTGAGATAGTTCGCACTGCTATTAGCACCAAGCCAGCAAAAAAACAGCTACCAAAGGTCATGGTCTCAGTCAAAATACTGCAAATGTGTTGGTCATGTCTTCTCTTCTTGCGCTGCTCATGCTTTTGGTCTGCAAAGGTCCGCACTAATGAGCATTTTTGCTTGTAAAACTCATGTTGCAAAACGCCTCTAATCGAATTGGTGTATGTTGAGTAAAGGACAACGCAGCTGTAGTGGAGGATTAAGCGGTTGCTGAATTTTGCAGTTATATCACCTTGCAATAAAGTTTTGTTTACTATTAGGTTGATGCATAATTCCTGCACCAAAATAGGTACAGACCGCAATAACTTGGAGTAATCCTATATCCCAAGTAGGACTCGATATATCATTTGATAGCGCAAACCTAGCTCTACAAGATAGTGCTCAAATATCTACACCAGCTTTAATCTACGCGAAGTTTTGAGCCAAAAACTGAAAAAAACCATGCGTCCGAAAACCTTAAGACAGATCTTTAAAAAATTGTAACTTCGTTCAAAAAGCTCATACAAATTTTCTTTCTTGCTCACGCGTAGACGTTCTACGTAAGACATTTATCTGTGCGGTTGCTGTATTTTTTTCTCAACTAGGCGATGAAAAAACGAAGTTTTTTGAAGTTTTTCATGTTTTTGCCAAATCCGTTAGCAATGAAACTTTACATTTTCAGCCTTCTAGAACTGCTAGTTCGCGAGAAATAACGAATCTAGCTCTCCTTATCCAAATTTTTCTTGCCTAGTTGCTAAAAATCCGATATTTCTCGTAAACCAGCTGCTCCAAAAAGCTGAAAATTCACATTCACGCTTCTAAGGTCCTATAATATACAACTGTCAGTGCTAGAACATCTCAGCATTGTTTTGGAAAAAACATGAAAAACTTCGTTTTCTCATCGTCTAGTTAAGAAAAAAATACAGCAACCGCATAGATGAATGTCTTACGTGGAACGTCTACGCGTGAGCAAGAAAGAAAATTTGTATGAGCTTTTTGAACGAAGTTACAATTTTTTTAAGATCTGTCTTAAGGTTTTCGGACGCATGGTTTTTTTCAGTTTTTGGCTCAAAACTTCGCGTGGATCAAAGCTGGTGTAGATAGTTGAGCACTATCTTGTAGAGCTAGGTTTGCGCTATCAAATGATATATCGAATCCTACTTGGGATATAGGATTACTCCAAGTTATTGCGGTCTGTACCTATTTTGATGCAGAAATTATGCATCAACCTAATAGATAATGGGAAGGAAAATATGACGTTTGCTAATGTATAGACTAACCGACCAACTTCATCGATTTTAAAAGCTACGGGGCTGGGAGTTCGTACAGGGGGTAAGTGAGGGTGCTAATTATGGATAAAAATTTACTTCATCGATATCGATTTTTGGAAAACTTTGAGCTACGGGGCTGGCAGTTGGTACAAGGGGGTAGGTGGGGTTGCTGATTATGAATAAAAATCTACTTTAATGCTTTCATCGATTTTTGGAGAACTTTTAACTACAAGGTGGGAGTTGGTACAGGGGGTAAATGAGGGTGCTGATTGAAAATAAAATCTACTTTATCGATTTCACTGGTTTTTTAAAAATCTTGAGCTAGAGTTGGTATAAGAGATATGAGGGTGTTGATCATGGATGGATCGGCCTTGACCGAATATGTCAGCAAGTTTTAGGTATGGTTGCTCTGGTTATTCGATAAATCATTCGAATACTTATTCGAATTCGACTTTCAATGTTCGAATATAATCGATACTCATTCATTCGATATTTTTGAATTTCCGATTTTATTCCGAATTCATTCATTCGAGAATTTTTTGAATCTCGAATTTATTCGATACTCGTTCATTCGAGATTTTTTTATTTTCGAATTTATTCGATATTCGTTTATTCAAAATTTTTCACTTTCAAATTTATTCGATATTCATTCATTCGATGAAAAATTTCGAATTTACCCAAGTATACGGCGCAGGCATGAGGTATTTGGGGACGGACTTCTCAGTCGTGAATGAACAATCTGCGCTGCCTCTTGGGCAGTGCCTTAGTTAGGATCCCCCTCATCAATTTCCAGGCGGAAAACCCATGCACCCAGATTTGCCTGGACACTGCCTTTAACGTATATGATTTCCTGTAATCCTCATCGCTTCAGAAACGATCACGCAGTGGACATGCTTACATATGCTCAGAGCTTAGACTTCCAATTGAAGTTTCGTGATAAGCGAATGACTCTTGACAAGCACAAGCGATTATGTAACAAATCGAGACCTAATGATTTCTGATTTTTGAAGACTTTTGGAAATCATTCTAGTTATTTACAAATATGAGCAACACTTGCAAAATTGCTGACTCATGTAAGCAACTTTCACAGACTTCGCGACCCATTCTGGGGGGAGGGGCCTCCCTCGGTACGCCACTGACTTATGCGAACATCTCTTACTTCGAGAATTCTAAGGGAAAGAACTAAAACTTGGTGCTATGTGAGGAGCCATAGTGGCCACGCCTTTTTGGACTTGTCCGTGTCCCATAAGGCCTAAGGCATACCTCACGCGATTTGGCAGAATCGCCACTTTCACGCAACTTGGCGATTTGCCAGATTTCCATAAATTTATCGTGCGCACTTCTCGGACGCATATTTGGGTAGCTTGTGTAAGCTGTTGCAAACAGAGCAATCCTGACCAAAGGCAGCGCGTTAACGACGAATTACGAAGAGTCGCTGTTGTGCCAAATCGCGCAGCGACCGGAATCGCGCGAGGTATGCCTTAGGCCTAACTCGAAATGGAGGTACAATAACAAAAGTTGGAAGGGCGTCGTTCTTTGGCACCATTAATACATTTTTAGTCTAATGCTGTTCTAGTTTGATTGTCATGCTTATATTAGTAAAGCACTTTGATAGGAATTTCAAAAGAAGAGACCAACCCGTTTCGACTTGCCAGATCGCAACATTCTCCTCTATGACTATTGTTCATGCACTACGCTGACATTCCTTAATTTCACTGTTCCAAGTATTAGGTTGTCCGGAAATTAATGCCCGTTTTGAATTTCAACCGCAAAAAGTCATACACGTCTCTCTTCTAAATGGGTTGCAAAGTACCATTCAATAGAGCAAAGCAATCTCTACAAGATGGCTATCTTGCTTTAGCAACAGCTCTGATCCACCACGAGTTTCGAGCCAAAAACTGAAAAGATTCAACTGCCCGAAAAATCGAGAAAAATCGTAACTCAGTTCGTAAAAATCCTACAAAAATTCTAACTTGCTCACGTAAACACTATCCACATAAAACATCTATATACGCCGTTGCCGTATTTTTTTTCTCTGTTAGAAATCAAGAAAACGGAAATTTTTGTGCGTTTGCCAAAGTGGTGCTGTGCCGTTTCCACATAGGTGGTAGTATACCACAGACCTTTAGACGTACAAATGTAAATTTCCAGCTCTCTACAAGCTTTAGTTCGCGAGAAATTTGAATTTTAGCTTGGACCACATGACTAGGGAAAACTGTATTCGATATTTCTCGAGAACTAAAGCGTGCAGAGAGCTGGAAATTTACGTTTGTACTCCTAAAGGTCTGTAGTATACTACTACCTATGTGGGAACGGCACAGCATCACTTTGGCAAATGCACGAAAATTTCCGTTTTCTTGATTTCTAACAGAGGAAAAAATATGGCAAAGACGTATATAGATGTTTTATGTGGATGATGTTTACGTGAGCAAGTTAGAATTTTTGTAGGATTTTTACGAACTAAGTTACGATTTTTCTCATTTTTTCCGGCAGTTGAATTTTTTTTAGTTTTTGGCTCGAAACTCGTGGTATAATTAGAGCTGTTGCAAAAGCAAGATGGCCTTCTTGTAGAGCTTGCTTTGCTCTATCGAATGGTACTTTGCAACCCATTAAGAAGAGAGACGTGTATGACTTTTTGCGGTTGAAATTCAAAACGGGCATTAATTTCCGGACAACCTAATATTTCTGCTTTAAGTGCTAACTTTTATATGCGTAGTTGAAGCGAAATTGTGGTGTAATATCGCTTCAATGATTTGGGCTTTGCAAAGCGACGTGTCTGTTGACCGGGGTCCGTCGACTGCCACAATTTGGCAAAAACCTAAATAACTAATTTTGGTTCGCATCGGACGCGGTTCATAATCGCGAAGGTGACTTATTGACGTTTGAAGAGGCAGATTTTGCAGCATTCCAGAACAAGGGGAGGAATACAAATACGCTTTTGCATTGTTTTGATCGATTTCAAACATCACACAGCCACATAAAGCCTTGTACTTATGAGCAGCTGTTAGCAATTTGTTGATAAAACAAGCTCTTGATATCGTAAAAGCTCCGTATTTACATAAATATGTTAAAGTTCTTCACTACCTCACTAATCTATGTGACAACATGGATTATCTGGCAGTCACTGGCGTACATGCCCCCATCGATATGGATGTTTGTTGGAACGATCACCCCTATCGGCCATGCAGTAAGGACCGCTTTCTTAGGTTTCTGATGCATATTTGTGATTTTTCTTAGATCAACCCAACTATTTACCTCATCTTCAACAAGAATCTGAGGCGAAGATTATCTGATATGATATGGGGCACACGGGTTGACGTTACACTCGTGAGTAGCACCGGGAAGATGAAAGCAAATTACTGAGAAGAGGTTTTGTTGTAACGAATTTTACCATTGATTATTGAATACGAATTCAGATCTGCAAAAAAGCATCAGCTCCAAACTAGTTAGTTGTCCAATTATTCAAATACGCTACGCCTTCCAAGAGATCTTAGAGTGGAAAATGCGTTGACAGGAGTCCAACTCGAATGTCTGAATAACCGAACTCGCCTAATATCTCCTCAATTCAATCTGCAAACGATAGTACGGTGGCTTTTGCACCAAAACTTTCCGATTCTCTCAAAACCACCCCTGCTTGATAACGAAATGTATCATTCTCTGTTGTTTGTTTCGCTGTTCTCTGAATTGTCACAATCAAGAATCTTTGCACTGCAAAAACTGACATTAGTGTAGCACTTCGCGAAACAAAACATTGAAGAGCAACCACAGACAGAACTTCTCAACAGCGTCATCAGTATTGAGTAACAGATTCGCGCACGCAATTTTTGCAAAGAAAATGTTGCGTCCTATATTACCGATTCAAGTTCTGTTACACTCTGAATAGTCATTACATCTAAGTTCCTTAGTTCTGTGCAGCGATGTATTCGTTGAGGATCAACATTTGTGAATAAATAATTTATCTAAGGAAGAGCATCGTGGAGCGTTAAAACTGTTACTGTGTATGATATAACTTTCATGTCAGGTTCATTGCAATAGTGCACTAATACACATATTGATTACGACCAATGACACACGGATAGATGAAGAAAGTCATGAATCGATAAATACTCACTTCTTCTAGGTGCCCTATCAGAAAACCGAGTAAAAGATGGAGACCAAAGCAAGCAAGAAATGTGGATATGCAACTGGCCATGATTCAACAGTCTTTTGTACACAGCTTTCATCCAACACTACCCCTTCGTTCAACATTGATTTCAACATTTTTTGCGATGAAAAGTGTCCAAATCTGTAATATGAGGTTAGAGGACAGGTAGTAGTGCGAGATAACGCATTCAATCATCTTATGCTTTGATGGTGAATGCAATATAGTTCTGATTAGAGTTTCTCTAAAAGACATTGTTTCTGAAGGTTGTAAACAACTATTCCTGCAAGCCAGGTATTTGTGAGTAATTTAAGATGGACGTTTTTTTTCGCACTGGCCTGGCGTTTGCAATCACTAGTATGTATTGACTGAAGCAAAAAAATCTTGTATTCCGCTTGTGCCAACTGTCTTCCAAATCAGTCTCTTCCACATGTTTGATGCAAGTTCATCGAATTTAAGTATCAAAAACATCATGGACGTCGCACGAGAGGGACGGAGGCAATGAAAGTTTCGTGCTGGAGCCACAGTGACATGACACCGAATTTGATGCGCACATGCGAGTGAGGGGCTTAAACTTGGTTGATGACTTATGTGAATATAGTAGCGAACGTTTTCTCATTCGCTGAAATTTTTCAAGCTATGTGCCATAAACCCAACTCTTTACTTACGTAAAGTCTCATGGTTTTTCTTTGAAACTTTGCTGCAAATTTAAGGTTGATGCGAATCTAGTACACTTGAGCCTGACCAACCAAATAAATCTCATTGAGCCTGATTGTGTGAGTGTCATGAAGCCAACACGGGGTTTGGAAGAAGCTGTTCATTACATTAGCGGCCTAACGCGTCTCGACTACTTTTCGTCTTTGGAGGCCTAAAGTGATGCAGGATTAGTGATCTTATTTCTGCCCCACCAAGTTCTTCATCAACCCTGGGTTAGCTTCTCGATCCCCTCTCAAGTTTTACAGGCTTCACCAACCCTTGTTAATCCAGCACCACTTTAGCCTCCGAAGACGATGAGTAGTTAGAACGCGTTAGGCCACTTGTAATAAACAGCTTCACCCAAACCTCGTGCTGGATGCATGATACTGACAGAATCTGAATTATGCCGAGATTTCAACAAGAGAGTACGAGAAAATTATCAAAGTTGTTGTACCGGGTCTCACTCTGACCGACCAAGTAAACTTAATTGAGCCTGTTTCCTCCGCTCTTATTTCCAAGATCCTCGCCTCTATTTGAAGTAGAAATATTGTGAGGCTTTTCAATCTTCAACATATACCATATTTAAGGAATGACAGAGCATAACCTTTATCCAAAAGAAGAGAGGAGTACTATCAGAGTATCTCGAAAACACTATAATCTTATCTCGCTGATTTTTTTGCAGAAGCTTTGCGCAAAAAGCTTCACAACGGGATCCGAAAATCGAGAGGAAATTAGCGTATGTTAGAAGACACGATTTCAATTGCCAACCGGGCACCAAATAGCATATAATCTGTATTACACAAGAGTGCATAACCATCAGCAAAACTGGCGCCATATCATTACCTTTGTAGGTTTGATATGAGGTCGGTCACCCGAGCACTATAAATAGGGGAGGAGGTATAGTCTGATTGTGAGTATATGGTGGTTTAACACATCATCACACGTTATCGCAGGTGAGTCTTGGTTGCCCGATCTCCCTTTGTCTTTGCCTCTCTCCAATTTGAATTTCGTCTTGAGCTAGGATCTTGGCGTCTGGGAGAATGTTTCACATATGTTTTCGACTTTCTAGGCTCTGACGAAGGCGATACCGCCGAAACGTTGGCCGTGAATAAAGTGTGACTAATATCTTGGTCGCCGCTCAGCAAGCTCGAACGATTATCAACTATCGATGCCAAGATTAATAAACAACCGAAGTAGGACAATGTATTATACAACGCTCTGGATGCATTTGGAACCTTCCAAGAAAAACTTTAGTATGGTTAATTCAGACTTAATACCACAAAATAAGTTCAAACATGAATGTTGAAGATCGAAAACTTTTGAAATAACCAGCATCAAATTTATAAATATTTCACTCAGTTTCTCATCAAAATCCGTCAAGCTCTGCATGTATCATCTTCAAACAACTAGTAAGTCGAAGCACTTTGTTCGGTACTTTTTGAAGCTTGCATAAATCTTACATAGTCCTGAACTAAGCTTTTGTGTTAATAACCAACATAGAAATCGCACCTTTTGATTGTCTCACGCTCTTTGGCAAGCGTTGTGATGTTTTGCGCAAATCTTCTGCAAAAAAAATGTGCAAGATGAGATTGTCGTGTTTTCGCGATACTTTTATGGAATCCCTAGTTTTTTTCAAGAAACAATCAAAGACTGTCAATCCTCTGATGTGTTATGTGTTGAACTTAAAGAGGTACACACTATTCCTATTCAGACATAGGCGAGGATCTTGAAAACGAGAGAGGAGAAAACAGGCTCAATAAAGTTTATTTGGGTGGTAAAGTGAGAGCTTGAAAAACATGCTTATTAAGGTTCAGTTGGTTGGTTAGGCTCAAATGTAGAAGTTCGCATCGACTGTTCCTTGAACCTTCGCTGTTCCTTGGACGCCTTCTTAATTGCTAATTGTGTGTTTCCGTGAGCTCGTGTATCTCTGACGACAATCATTGCTGATCAGTAAAGTCAGCTCTAGCTTATTATACGAGCACAACGTACAAAATTCAAATTTTTGGTGTTGTGCAAGGTCTGAAATCGCGGTAAGTGCGCCCAATAAGCGAGCAAGCAGGTTTAAGCATTGAACGAACACTCAGTTTTGATTCGCGGTGACCAAACCGTGACGATTGCATCGCCAAAAAAGGGTCTTGATCCTTAGGCCTAAGGCATATCTCGCGCGATTCGGCCACATCGCGACGATCACGCGACCTGGCAGCCTGCCAGATATATCCAGAGTTATCTGAGCGGTTCTCCAATACAAAGGCGCGTAGCTTCTGTAATTTGTGGCAAACCGATCAAGTTTTTCCTTGACAAAGCGCTCTGACGAAATTATGAACCGTTGTTCCGCTCATAGGTGCGAAGGGTTGAGATGAATCTTACCCTCCCTTCACTTTGGAGCCTGGGCTACCCCCCCCCCCCTTCACTTTGGACGGAGGAAAAAAATCTTTTGAGGTGAGATGATAGTGTGCTTGAAGTGGAGTAGAATCTAAGGTAAAACAATTTATTTACAGAGTGTAGGGAACGAGAATGCGGGAAATGAAGCAAAAATCGGGCCGGACCCCCCCCCCCCCTCCTCACTGAGACGAAGCAGGAGCTGAGGTGAGAAAATGCTTAGTTTAAAGTTGAGATATCGTATTTGAGAAATCCAATTTTAAGAATTTCATGGGACGAGCGGTAATGAGTCGGATGGAAGGGCGCATGGTCATGAAACGAATGGCCGGGCGTGTTCTACGAGACTCGGAAAAAGACATTTTGTGGTTGTACTGTGGCTATAAATTGAATAATGCCATTGTATTGTGTGTATAAGGATAAACGATAAATGGAAATGTTGTACGCAAAAGATGTAGATAGTGAGTGAGGTTTGGTTGAGGCAGGTTTGAATCTGCTGAAGCAGACCTTCTTGAGCTTGAATTTCACACAAAAATCTATGCGTCTTCAACTCGGTACTGTTGCTCTCCTTCCTTACAGCAGATCCTTTTGCGACAGCCCTGCTTATATCAAATAAACCTCTCTCTACAAGATGGTGAGAAAAGTAGATCACGAGAGGACCTCCCCGCTGAGATATGGACCGTCAAATAGAACCACCCAAAATCGATTTTTTTTGCTATAACTCTTGTGTAAATAAACAAAAATAAACAAGGAGCTGGATTTAGAATCTACTCTTCAAGAGCTTTCGATATGTAATATGTGGGGGTTCCTTGTTTTTTCGCCAGGGGTTGAGACGATTCAGTTATGCGATCTCAGGTCTATCCCCCCTCCATATGCATTAAAGTGGGCGGGGCTGAGAAGCCATAACTGAATCGTCTCAACCCCTGTCGCAGGGCGAAAAAAACAAGGAACCCCCACATATTACATATCATTCGAAAGCTCTTGAAGAGTAGATTCTAAATCCAGCTCCTTGTTTATTTTTATTTATTTACACAAGAGTTATAGCAAAAAAATCGATTTTGGGTGGTTTCATTTGACGGTCCATATCTCAGCGGGGAGGTCCTCTCGTGATCTACTTTTCTCACCATCTTGTAGAGAGAGGTTTATTTGATATAAGCAGGGCTGTCGCAAAAGGATCTGCTGTAAGGAAGGAGAGCAACAGTACCGAGTTGAAGACGCATAGATCTTTGTGTGAAATTCAAGCTCAAGAAGGTCTGCTTCAGTAGATTCTTTTGCGACAGCCCTAGTTATATCCAGTAACACTTTCCTCGACAAGATAAAAAAGAAATCAGATTATGAGAGGACCCCCCTACCGAGATATGGAATTTTTTTGGCTCGAAGGGGGGTATAGTTGGCAACTCAAATTTGCCTCTACCAAACCTCTCTCACTATCTACATCTTTGATTGTGTACAACATTTCCACTTATCGTTTATCCTTATACACACAATACAATGGCAAATTATTTGATTTATAGCCACAGTACAACCACAAAATGTCTTTTTCCGAGTCTCGTACAACACGCCTACGTGAAGGCTCCACTCCAGCCATTCGTTTCATAACCATGCGCCCTTCCATCCGACTCATTACCGCTCGTCCCATGAAATTCCTAAAATTGGATTTCTCAAATACGATATCTCAACTTTAAACTAAGTATTTTCTCACCTCAGCACCTGCTTCGTCTCAGTGAGGGGGGTCCGGTCCCAATTTTTGCTTCGTTTCCCGCATTTTGGTACATGATAATGAAATGATATTTATCAAAAAAAGTGTCTGAAAACATTTTACTAACTATGTTAAAATTTATACAAATAAATTTAGAAAATTTAAAATCAAAAAAATTGGAAAATTGTTAAAATTGAAATTCAAAAAAATTAAAGTTAAAAAATTGAAAATTTATTTTTCTCAATTCTACCCCCCCCCCCCCGGTCGAAGTCGGCAATTTTTGGACCCCCTTCACTTTTGAGGGTCAAAAAACAGCCGAGACCCCCTTCACTTTGGAGGGTACCCATCTCAGGCCTTCGCACCTATGGCACCCGCCGTACTTGATCCGCTTAATCCACTTGATCCGCTTGATCCGCTTCGCTATTGGTCAATTTACTGAATTGACCAATGGCGAAGCGGATCAAGCGGATCAAGTGGATTAAGCGGATCAAGTATGGTGCGTGCCTAACGCCTCCCTCCGTCCATCATTACCATAATTCCTCTCTTTTTCAGGTTTTGACGTAACCGACGATCTCTTATTGTGATCTCTTCTTTCTAATTTCCTGCTCTTTTAGATTTGTATGGTAAAGAAGCAGAGCATCAGTGAATTCTGCCCAATTGCTGTGAGGCTTCTGTGTTCATCAGCGTTTTTTGGGTAAAAGGAATATTAAATGTTCACAGGTCTTTCAGAAGGCAGCTGCAATATGGCTGGTGTTTGTGCTCTTGTTCTCTGATGGAACTACGTCGAGTAGATTTAGCGGTAAATATAGTGTGCTTGCACAGAAGGTGAAATGCGGTGAAATTTGCGCCTGAACAAGTAGCCAGTACCGCGGGTATCTTGCGCGCGCAATTGGCCGGCGTCACAGCCGAAACTATTTCTTCACGCGCCACTTTTAACGCATTTCACCTTCTGTGCAAGCACACTATATTTACCGCTAAATCTACTCGACTGTACAGTCAGTGGTTGATGCTGTCAGTTTGACACTGTTATTCATAAAATCGAGTATGGCCTAATGGGTGCTCCTTAATATACTTCTGTCGTCCTTTCACCCCGTTGTAGCGGGCACGCAGCCTCAGACGCTCTCCCGCGAAGCGGTTTTGACCGCGGCGCAGGGTCGATACTGTTGATCAGCTGTTCATCCGTCCGCTGCCACAGAAATTGATGAGTTTTTGATAATTTCATTATCTTTCTGTTTGCAGGTTGCAACAAAAGGATGGAAAATAAGTTGAAAAAGTCTTCAAGTTTATTTATGAGTGATATCTTGATTACATGAACGAAAATTTCAAAAACTGGGTGACATTGCGCTTAGATTGGATAGTCAGCTTTTTCAGCGAACAATTCACTTATATATAAAGTTAACAGACTTTCTCGACTCACCTTCCAACCTTTTGTTGCAACCTGCAAGCAAAAAGATAATGAAATTATCAAAAACTCACCTATTCCCGTAGCAGCGGACGGATGGACGGATGAATCAGCCGTATCGACCCTGCCCGCGGTCAAAACCGCTTCGCGGGAGAGCGTCTGAGGCTGCGTGCCCGCTACAACGTGGTGAAAGGACGATACTTTATTTTTGGACTGTCACTGCTTTGCTGAGTATTCTAAGATTTATCTGGACATCAAATTTGCCGGTTGCTTCTATGTTGGCAACATAGTGAATTTGAAAGCTTCTGATATTACCACATTTCTGCTAATCTGTCACGACTATTGGAAACATGTAAGTTAGTTTTCTATATATCATTTCAAACTAGCTTTGCAGTGCTTTCTAGAGAATGAGTCTCTATTCTAGATGTCCACTGTAATGCTTATACTTTTGGATTTGCTGTACTAACAGGCATTTCGCAACTCTATGCATAGCATGTAAGTTCTGATGTCAGTTGATTGTCGGCGATATTCCAGTATCCGGGCACCAAAATTTTTGACGTGGATTTTGCTGAAACTTGGCCCAGGGGGGTTATTCGGTCCGCTGATGCTGAAAATCACATTGGTTTTGTACCGCATTTTCTCGAGTTACGGTAGGTATGCGGTGAGGGGTCAAAGTCTCAAAATTCGCTGTAACTCCGCACAGATGGGTTATTCGACATGCTGATTAGAAACATCCCACTTTATCCGCACAAAACGTCTCCCTGCACGGTTACGGTAGGTTCACAGTAGGGGTCAAAATCACGAATCGGCGAATGTATCTTCTCCCTGTACTTCGCTTAGGCAAAAGCCGCAGCAGGGTGTGTAGCGCGCGGCGGTGGTCGTGTGTGCAAAGCTTCACAATCGTCCGAATCGCGTACACCCCTTTCAGGCAGAATGTTCGGCCATTTGCTGTTTAGGTGACCGAACCCGTACCATCAATCAACCTATAGTAAAGCGGGCGGGTACGGGTCGACAAGGGTCAGCGGGGTGTAAGCTTTGGCAGTCTTGCAATAAACGTTCGTAGCGACGTGTTGTGAGCTCCCAGTGTTACAGTTGCCCTATAGTGGCACACAGAAGTAGGTTTTTCACCCGTCACCGTGTATCTACCGTAACTCGAGAAAATGACGCTATGGTACAAAACCAACGTGATATTTGGCATCAGGGGGCCGAATAACACCCCTGTGTCAAGTTTCAGCGAATTCTGGAATATTGACCCCTTACCGTATGCCTACCGTAACCCAAGAAAATGACGCTATGGTATAAAAGCAATGTGATATTTGGCATCAGCGGGCCGAATAACCCCTGTGGGCTAAGTTTCAGCAAAATCCATGCGAAAAAAAATTTTGGGGCCCGGATACTGGAATAGCGCCAAATTGTTGTCAATAGCTTGTTTATGTTCAATTTACAGGTTATCGAATACAGCTTATTTCTATGTGTGGCATTGAACAGTCCGTAAAATGGAACTTTTTGCGACCTACCGACGCAATTTTAACGTCCGACGATATGTGGACCTACTGCGTCATGGATTTTCCAACGATGTGTAACCTACTGGTCATATGATCTTTTCACATATTAGAGAAGAAGTCACTAGCTTTGTAGTCAAATGTACTTTTTATGGTGTATGCGACATTCTTTTTCCCGTGTTTTGGTGCATTGTATCTTGTAGTTATAAATTATAACCCCTCCCCCTACCTACCCCCCCCCTTACGACACCCCCTGCGGCGTGCCGCACCCCCCGCTTTACCCTGGTTATAATAAATATGTTAACGTAGATTTGTAGAACCCTGTACTGAGATTACAGTGGGGTGGAGGACATTAGGTCGCCGAATTTGGAAGAGTCCCGCGCGGATTCCCTGCAGGAACGCATGTCCGCGTATGTACAAGTGTGCGTATTTGTCGCAAATGACCGCGGGGACCGCCCTTTTTCGGCGACCTAATGTCCTCCACCCATTACGGTGCGGAAAAATAATGTGGCCCAGTGACATTTGGTTGCGCCGCTCTCGCATACCGGCTAGCGATCTTGCCATCTCCGGCCGGCGACCGTTTCAAGACCGGCCGGCGAGCGCGCACGAACGGCTGAGACGGATCACGATGTCCCGCAAGACGGTAGTCGGACGGTCGCCGGCCGGTGCGAGTGTCTGAGTAGTTAACATTGTATTAGGTTGTCCGGAAATTAATGTCCGTTTTGATTTTCAACCGCAACAAGTCATACACGTTTCATTCCTGAATAGCTTTCAAGGTATCACTCGATAGAGCAAGGCAAGCTCTACAAGATGGCTGTCTTGCTTTAACAACAGCTCTGATCCACCTCGAGTTTCGAGCCAAAAACTAAAAAGATTCAACTGCCCGAAAAATCAAGAAAAATCATAACTCAGTTCATAAGAATCCTGCAAAAATTCTAACTTGCTCACGTAAACACTATCCATATAAGACACTAGCTGGCTTACCCGGCTCCGCCGTATCCGGACCAAACTTGGCACACATACACTTCGGGCCCCGGCGCGTGTCACAGTCCACTTTTCGTTATCGATCGATGTCGATTTTACCGATTTTTATCGATTTTTTCGCAGAGTTCACCTACAGGGCTAGGAGTTGGCACAGGGGGGAAGTGAGCATGGGGATTCCGAATACAATATTAGTTTTCAGAATTATCGGTTACTTTTATTGATTTTATCGATTTTTTGTAAATTTTGACATGCGAGGCTGGGATTTTGCACAGGGGGTAATCGAGCATGCTGATTACGAACACAATATTAGTTTTCAGGATCGTCCATTACTTTTATCGATTTTATCGATTTTTTTGTAAAGTTTGACCTGCGGGGCTGGGAGTTTGCACAGGGGGGTAATCGAGCATGCAGATTACGAATACAATATTAGTTTTTGGAATTATCCATTACTTCTATCGATTTTATCGATTTTGCAAAATTTGAGCTAGGGGGATGGAATTTGGCACAGGGGTGTAATCGAGCATGCTGATCACCTCCTTGGGGATGATCAGCATGCTCGATTACCCCCCTGTGCCAACTCCCAGCCCCCTAGCTCAAACTTTGCAAAAAAATCGATAAAATCGATAAAAGTAATCGATAATCCCGAAAACCAATATTGTATTCGGAATCCCCATGCTCGATTACCCCCCTGTGCGAACTCCCAGCCCCGTAGCTCAAACTTTGCAAAAAAATCGATAAAATCGATAAAAGTAATCGATAATCCTGAAAACCAATATTGTAATCGGAATCCCCATGCTCGATTACCCCCCTGTGCCAACTCCCAGCCCCGTAGCTCAAACTTTGCAAAAAAATCGATAAAATCGATAAAAGTAATCGATAATCCTGAAAACCAATATTGTATTCGGAATCCCCATGCTCGATTACCCCCCTGTGCCAACTCCCAGCCCCGTAGGTGAACTCAGCAAAAAAATCGATAAAAATCGATAAAATCGATATCGATCGATGACGAAAAGTAGCCTATGACACCCGCCGGGGCCCGTAGCGTATGTGTGCCAAGTTTGGTCCGGATCGGTTCAGAAATGGAATTTTCTATTCGGAACATACGTACATACATACATACATACATACAGACAGACATACAAACAGACATTCAGCTTTATATATAAGATATATGTAGGCCGTTGCCGTATTTTTTCCTCTATTAGAAATCGAAAAAACGAAAATTTTCATACTTTTGCAAAAGTGATGCTGTGTCGTCCCCACATAGGTAGATGTATACCACAAATCTGTAGAAGTGAAAACGTGGATTTTCAGCTTTTTATAAGCTTTAGTTCTCGAGAAATTTGAATCTTAGTTTGGACCACCTGACTAATGAAAGCTATATTCGATATTTCTCGAGAACTAAAGCTTGTAGAGAGCTGAAAATTTACGTTTGTACTTCTACACATTTGTAGTACACACCTACTTATGTGGGGACGACACAGCATCACTTTGGCAAAAGCATGAACATTTTCGTTTTTTCGATTTCTAACAGAGAAAAAAATACGGCAACGGCCTACATATATGTCTTATATGGATAGTGTTTACGTGAGCAAGTTAGAATTTTTGCAGGATTCTTATGAACTGAGTTATGATTTTTCTTGATTTTTCGGGCAGTTAAATCTTTTTAGTTTTTGGCTCGAAACTCGAGGTGGATCAGAGCTGTTGTTAAAGCAAGATAGCCATCTTGTAGAGCTTGCTTTGCTCTATCAAATGTTACCTTGAAAGCTATTCAGGAATGAAAAGTGTATCACTTATTGCGGTTGAAATTCAAAACGGACATCAGGGCTCGGCACGAGCTGGCACCAGGGAAATTTCAAAACGAAGTCCCGTCGATATTGAAAATTTCGTACGAAGTCCCTTTTGACCTGTTCTGAAAACCCGTCATCATTTTTATATTATGTAAAAAATGTAGTAGTGTTTTCATGCATTTCTGATTTCATTAAAGAACATTTCACAGCTTTTTGAGCTTTTTAAGTGGTTGAATCACATCTTGAGAAGCAGAAAAAGCCGATTTTTTGACTGCGGAGCGGACCGAGTGGTCTTCAAATTGCTATAAAACGCTGAAAAGAGAACATTATGAAACTGTTTCTTCTCCGTATGTAATCTTTTACAGTGTAGATACATTTTATGTAAAAAAGTATGAAAACTTATGTGAGCAAAGTGTCGGTGCCAGCTCAGCTGGCACCCAGCTGGCACGGTGCCAGCTAATTCAGAAAAAAGTTCGGCACAGCTTTCATTCACATAATTTTTCATAAATTTTTGGCCCATAGTTCCGGTCCACCAACGCGCATGCACGCACCAAATTTGGTGTCATACTATTGCGTTTTGGCTGAAAACAACGACTTTGTTTGTTGATGGACAGCTTGCCAATGGCATGCCGGTGGCATACCGGCGGCATTTTTGCGGCACTTCTCCGCCTCGGACCCTGTAGAAACGATATCCCCTTTGCTTTCCGCCCTAAAAACGATATCCAGCTTGACCCGGTGCCAGCTGTGCTGAGCCCTGACGGACATTAATTTCCGGACAACCTAATATTCACACCAAGAACGCGTTTCTGACGCATGATGCCAATTGAGTGCCATGTCGAGGTCTATACAACAGTGTGAAGGTGGTCTATGGCTTTGCAAATCTCATGAGCGCCTTGGCTGCAGAGACCAATGTCACAATTTGGCAAGCCTTGTAATTTTTCAGCGTTTTTTTCTTGGTTTTTCTTGTCTTCAGGCAGCAAGAGAATCATCGATTGACTAAATGAAAGTGGATATAGCATTTAAAAGCGGTCCATGCGAGTAAGGTGTATAGGAGGAAAATTTATTCATATTGTTTATAACTTCCATTATTGATACTTACATTTATTTATGGAATTTCCCAAACTAGAAAAGGTAACACAAAGATATCAGCACAACCCCATCACCACATATGGACCTAATCGTAAGCTAATTGCGAATCGTGAGTAGATGGGAGTTTTAAGAAATAGGGTTTTACGATAAGATGACTAGATTTACTCAATCACAATTAAATGAAATGATAGATGTTTGAGCAAGTGCATGAGCAATTTGAATGAAAAGTAAAAGAAACACGAAATCACCAATCTGTTGCTATATACAGAAACAATGAATTAACACGAGAATTGAAGTAGTTAGACTGATTGTTACAAGTGCTTTTTGTACACCATTTCACCCTTGAAAACCAGTACAGAGATACGAAGAATCACAAGCTAATATAATTATGAAGAATCAACTGTCAGGGTACTGACCAAGCTAAGGTCATTTTTCCATAGCTGTAATGTAGTGTACACAGAATATCAACGTGAAATTATGACTGTGGTAAAAATATGAGAAATTATATTAGTAAACAAATGAAATGGATGAGGCGTAAATGTTCACTTATTCGAAGTTCGTGAATCAAGGCCATGCATGGATACTATTTCCCGAGTCAAATTATTTATATGCCTAAACCGATCCGGCCCCAGATGGATCCCTCCATACCATCTTGATACTACCACCTACACGGTTATGCTATGTCAGAAAAATGGTTGAATAGGGATGAACTTACTAGAACATTATTTGCATTCATCTTCTCTAAAAGTTCCAACATTCTTGAGCTGGCTCCAGTCTCGCCATCATCGAAGCAATCGTGCAAACTACGAAACAACGTTCACTTTGGATCTTGAAAATTTTGGGAACAAGTTGAACCTACCGAATCTCGCGTCCATCTCGTACTTCCGTTATTCGATAGGCGTACATATTATGGGTAGCTCGACTGATTTTCGAGTTTTCTAGTAGCCTATCTAGAACCAGTGTGACCTGAAGACAAGCTCTTCCGAAACGTCTATATACTGACTACTTTGTAACCTCGTCCTTGCTGAAAACTCTGGCAAGATGGGCTTGAAAGTGGCTTTTCCTATCGGTGAAAACGTCGCCATGATAAATAGTTGGGACTAGGTCTACTTCGCTTGGCACTAATACCACTGTTCCCACAGAATCAGATGATGCCTCATTCTCTTCATTTCTCTGTTGTTTAGCCTAAAATTACCTTCCCCTAATAATGAGCTTTGTTGGTTAAAATCGTGACAATGGCGCGACCGTGCGCAACACGCCTCCTAATTTTTGGTCTCCATCTCAAATAGTTTTCATGATAGTATTCAGGCACTAGAATTCACTGAGCTTAGCGTTGAGGTGCCTGTTATGGGTGTTTTATCTTTCTGAATGCGAAAAAACCGCAGTCAAATCGTGGTCACGATTTTAAAAATGAACCATACATTCAATTGTTCAGTCAGATCCGCTCTCCGTCAGAATGAAACCATTTTTGAGCGGACGCAATGATCAATTCTAGCATACTCCGAGTTGAAACAACTGCATATACTTCCCTTATGAGACAAATGGTTACAAACCTCAAGAAATTCCTTGATTACAGTAATCCAAGCATATAATATTGGAGTGCCTAAGTTTTCCAGCCACGTCTCATTCACGGCATTCTCCAGCTCTATCCTATCATCTCTTGTGAGAGAAGGACCACTAAGCTCGTAAAGGGCGGGCTCCCTGGAAGGAAAAGTCATGATTGACTTTTCGGCAGCACACATCACAATCAGTGAGACTTTACAGTTGTCAATATTTTCTGGAAACCGCATTTGCATCCAGAGGAGTCATTCAAAGGCGGTGGCTTAGCCAAACCGGACTAATTTCGAACGCGATCGCTTTCGCGCTGAGTGGCGTAGGTACCTCAAGGCTCTCCATTCAATACTAAACACCTTGAGGTAAATTCTCAAGGTATAATTTTTACCTCACGGTACTTTTGTGAGTACAGTCGAGTAGATTCAGCGTTAAATATAGTGTGCTTGCACAGAAGGTGAAATGCGGTGAAATTTGCGCGTGAACAAGTAGCCACGCCAGTACTGCGGGAATCGTGCGCGCGCAATTGGCCGGCGTCACAGCCGAAACTATTTCTTCACGCGCCACTTTTAACGCATTTCACCTTCTGTGCAAGCACACTATATTTACCGCTGAATCTGCTCAACTGTACGCGTATATGCTGATAATGAGTCAGGGCCCGGCACCGATGTTTGGGGTCAAACTGGACTTCGTTTTTGGAGTTAGAAGCAACGGAGACATCGTTTTTATGAAGTCCTGGAGGAAGCGCCAAAAAAAACACGACGAACATGTCAGGTTTCACGAGTTGAACGGGTTCTTTCGCAAGCGCGCGAATTTCAAATGCAAGACTCAAACAAACAAATGGCTTGTTTACAACGCACAAACAATCACATGGCTCCGAATTTGGGCTATGTGTATACAATATTACTCCAAACTATGTTATGTAAAAAGTTCCCAAAACTTGTGTCCTAATATCCGTTCTCGGATTTGTTGGTTTTGAGACCAGCTACCAAACCAACTGGGTTGGTTCGGAGCATAAATATCGGAGAGTTCACATAAGTTTTGGACCTTTTTGATTTGGACGATTAGAACGGTCAAAAATCTATCATACAGTGAAAAGAGCGGATCAAACCGTTGCCTCTCCCCTTTTTTGAGTCAAAAGTAGTATAATTTTATGCGTTGATAGATATCGCGCTCCAATCACTTGCGGTGTCCTTTGAATTATGTGGCGAAAAATGCATCACAGGATTGTTGAGGCTACAGATTTGGTTGGCCTAGGAGATTTTCGACATTCCCAGCATCAAAATGGTACTGTACCCAATGGCAGAGCCTTTAATCGACTCGAAATGTTTTCTTTTTGCTTTTTTGTTATATTACATACCTCAGAATGCGCTTTTTTCACTTTTTTGTTGCTATTTTGGTTGAATAAGGGTTCCCCTACTGATTTTCACATCGAGAGAGACTTCGTGCTTCTTCGCAAAGTCATGGGGGACTTCGTTTCCTAAAAACCTCCAAACCAATGCGTGCCGGGCCCTGTAATGAGTGATAAAGAACCATTCGCGCGATGCTCGTTCGCCGCGTGCGGCGCCGCTGACAAAGCTAACAAGTCGTTTTTACAGTCAACGGGGAAAATTCTTGGTTTGGAGCGTGTAATATACCGTCGCAGAACCTATAATCATGTTGGACACGAAAGATGTACAAAAATCAACAAGTATCAACTCGTTATGGCAGTGGACATATTGACCAATCAGAGGCGCGCCGTGATAGCGAGCGGTTCAAAAGGGCCGTTTCCCCCTGGAGGTAGAATTTACCTCAAGATATCAGTGATGAATACGGCCATAGAACTGTTCCCATATTTACTATCAACTTTGCTGCTTTCGAGCGCCTTAAATTTGCAGGAGTTAACACTAAAACGATTGGAAGGCAACCATATTAATGGTACCTGCGGGACAATTCTCGGGGATGCCCCATAGATGGAGCGGATAAAATTCTGAAGCATTTTACTCGTGACCACTGCCTTTACACGATATGATGGAAGCCTGGTTGGGAAAGGTCAAAAACTCACTGCGATGGATATGCCTTCGGCAGCTTGACAAAGAGGCGGACATCTCCATCGAACGAAATTCGCACTTTATCCTCGCCTTCGAAGTAGATCAGATCACCGAAAATCGACTCAAGGATTTCAAGTTCCGCCTTCTGTGCCTCAGCATCCTCCATGCACGGAGTGCACACCTGGAATTACCCTACCTTACGCATATCGATCGCGTCGATAATTAATGAGATCGCAAATCGATAGTGGGCTGGTTAGTTTCTGTGATCTCAGCGATCTGGCGGGAATGAACCGAAACAGAACAATGCCGGAACTCATGCCTCATTCGTCGGAATATTGCCGAATGAACCGGACGTCCAAGCAACTCAAAGGATTTTGGCGGTTCGATATTTTCACCCAACGTCGGTCCAGACTCCAATGAGACTGCGTGTGCCAACTGGTTTGTCGTAGGTGAATGTTTTTGATTTGTGGATTTCTTTCGAAATGATCAGAGGTGCAATTTCCCACATTCATTCGTAATTTGTCCTCTCAAGATTAGGAGCCGAAAGAGACTGTTGGCTTTCAAGTTTTCGTCCTTCTGTCGTTCGATTCTTGTCACGCTATATACAATCATAACTGATTTTCTTGTTTTTTGCCTGAATGAACTGAACTGTTTTCATTTTAGCAAGCCACGCCTGCTCAAGACGAATCTATAGAGCCCCAAGCGGCTCCTACAATGGCTCCAGCAAAGCCGCGAAAGTTTTTTGGACCGCCGAGAGGTTCTACTGAAAAACACAAGTTTTCTCCAAGGCATTTCAATAACCGAAGAAATGGGGAACAAAATGATAAAGAAAGGAATGGAAGTACACCGAAAAGGAGACAGCAAAGGACTTTCAGTGATCAGCTAGGTGAAGAGCCAAAGCTGATTGCTCAGGGCTCCCCAGTTTTTCAACTGATTGATCCAAAAATGGATAAAGAAGCACAGCAAAAAGCACAAATAATTCGATCTTATTCGTAAGTCCTCATCAACTCATCGAACCATTTAGGGCTGGCTTATCAACCCATGACTTTATGACCTTCAGATTATCTCAACAGCGACAAAACAGTACCCAACGAGCTCGTCCTATCAGCTTTTTCAAGCCGTATATGAATGAAAGTGAACTGCGGCAGGGTTTGGAGAAGGGAACGATCATTCAAGTGCGTTGAACTTTTGTATTCGTTTTATCTCTCCTCCTAGATAGCAGCTTCAGGGTGCTATTCGCATAAATCAAAGGAAATATGAGGAAGCTTTCATCAACAATCCAGAGGGATCTGATCAAGCTGACATAGCAATTTTGGGCATGCCAGATAGAAACAGAGCGCTGCATGGAGACGTCGTGGCTGTTTGCATAAGGCCTCGTGCTTTCTGGGTGGTAAGTGCTTGGAGAAAATTCTGCTTTATTTACTAAGATTATGTGCTTATCGAACTACTTAGGTAAATGAGGAGCTTTACAAGGAGTGGAAGAAGGAGTGTCGTCCAAAAAATCTGAAAAAAGAAAATGAAAGCATGAGCGAGGTCAGCTTTTATTCACTCATGATGACTGAATTCACTTTGAATGGAAGTTATACAGTGCGTGTGTTTAGGAGCTCGTGGAGGTACCTGAGTTGCTTAGCGAAATCATCTCTGCGGTCTCAGACATGAACGCAGGTGACTCAGTTGCGGTATGTATTTTACTTTATACTTGCGTAAAAAATGATACAATTCCGCCGAAGACGAAATGAAGAGAGAAGTAAAAGGTCTGAGGACGACAGATCTACAGTTTGGATGTGTTGAGGTAGTGTCCAGTGTGCAGCCTGCCTTACTTAACTAGTGCCAATATCATTTGCCTTGTGCAGCTCATGTGCTGTAGATCTATGACGTAAGATTCAGTCATAGAGATACCGCTGTATGAGATATACATTTCTAAATGGCAAGCTATGATTTCACACCTGGACTGTAAGATCGTCGCCATATATGATCATGAAGTTTTCAATCTGATCGTTCTTACGGCGAGAAATAGCTATCAAAGCCGCTATTGATAAGTTTGGTCAATCTCACTTCACGGTGAAAAGCTCATTTGCACTTCAATGTGGTGCAAGTAGTTGTAGATATTAATTCGCGAATTGTCTAGCGCCATTACGTATTATGTACGTCATTTCAGGATGACATGGTGGTTGCTTCCACATCTGCAGAATCTCCCAACGTTCAGCAAACTGCTGGTAGAGATAAAACTAAGAAAAAGCCAGCTTATCGTATCCTGTCTCAGTTGCCTTTGGATGAGTGGGATGTACCTGATTCATGTTTACAAAAAACTGCTGAGGTAAATCCTTCATTGTAAGCTTGTAATGTATCAAATCCATTGTTTTGAAGGTGGTAGGAATCCTTGAAAAGAAGAATTCCCGCTTAGCAACGGGCAAACTGGAGCTTGCTACAGCGGCTCAGCGGCAGTGGGCTAAGTTTTCTCCAAGCGATTCGCGTATACCTCGTATGATGATCGAAGCATCTCAACTGCCTCACGATTTTTTCGACAGGCCTCAAGTATGGTTTTCTTTGGAAATCTTTATGCTTAAAACATGGACGGTTCAGGATTTTGCCAAATTCTTATTCGTTGCCAAGATCGCTGATTGGCCTGAGAATTCCGTCATGGCTTGCGGTAATTTGGAGAAGCAGTTAGGACTAGCTGGAGACATCGATGTGAGTGCTACCAATATATGAATATATTTTTAATTTTTAATCATTTTATTATCACTAATCCAGGCTGAAACTGAAGGATTGCTAATAACAAATGAGATAGACACAAGGGAGTTTTCGGAAGATGTGGTGGCCTGTTTACCAAGTATTCCTGAATCGGGATGGCAGATAAGCGAGGTAAATTTTTTCCTTATGTTTTTCTTCAGTTTTATACTTAACGTCTGGATTTCAGGAGGAGCTTGGCAAACGTCGAGACCTTCGGGACGAAATAATCTTTACGATAGATCCAAAAACAGCGCGTGACCTCGATGATGCGTTGTCAGTGATACCTTGTGATGACGTAAACGGAGCTGGACTGCCTGGCTGGGAGGTGAGCAAACGTTGCACCACTCTACTACGAACGTTCTTCTATTTTGATATGTTTAGGTAGGTGTACATATAGCTGATGTCAGTTATTTTGTGCACGAGAACACGGTTCTAGATGAGTGGGCATCGCAGCGAGCCAACAGCGTTTATCTCGTTCAAGAGGTTCACATTTTTGCCATCGCTTTGTCATGCTATTTGAAATGAGGAAATTACTGCGAGTTTGCCATTTTATAGGTTATCCCCATGTTACCTCGTCTTCTTTGCGAAGAGCTGTGTAGTCTCAATGCAGGCGTGGACAGGCTGACGTTCTCTGTAATATTCAAGATGGACGAAAATGGAGATGTGTATGATGAATGGTTCGGGAGGTCTGTGATCAGGTCGCGAGTTAAGCTGACATACGAGCATGCTCAGGTGAGCTTGTATCATAGTCTATTGCCTGATATAGTATTAGATAGATATCCGCTTCCACCCTTCTTATCTTGTTCCCCACTCAGTGAAATTTAGTAATTCTTGACATTCGCTTTTGCTTGATCCAACTACACGTGTATCTAAGACTATCTGTTAGGTTGATGGATACCTCCTAACGTGAACCAGGCTGGTCTTGGACGCGCCGAAGCTCAACTTATCCTTAGGGCGATAGCATTCCCCAGTGCTAATCATAACACGATGATTAGCATTGGAGAATGCTACCGCCCTAAGAATAAGTTGAGCTTCGGGGGTGGTAGCATTGGGGAATGCTATCGCCCCAATGAAGTCTGCTTCTTAATTCAAGCGGACCTCATTTGCAGTCACAATGACTGTAGCTGTGTGCTTAGTTTAGGGAGTGGAATTGTGACGGAGATATCCATGGCTGAGTATATGTTGTTGAGTTATTTTGGCGCACCATGATTGCAAAAATAAATAATTGAACTTTCAGGACTTCATAGAGAATCCTGACAAAGATTTCATGGAAAATGAAATGCCTGAAATCTCCGACAGTGTCACAGTGCACCAGATCAAAGAAAAGGTAGGTTTTTCCTTTGTTTTTTGGAGAAACTCCTGACTCGTCTTTTCAGGTATTACAATTGGATAGACTAGCAAAAGCTCTTCGAGCTAAGCGCAGACAATATGGGTCTTTGCAATTAGATCAACCAAAGCTAAAGTTTGCTTTGGATGATGACAATAAAATGCCCATAGGAGTCTCAATATATCAGGTTTGCCTGCTTGTTTTGTCATTCATTTATGGTCTTCTCTCATCATCTTCGTCTTCTTCAGGCAAAGGACTCAAATCGCCTGGTCGAAGAGTTCATGCTTCTCGCGAACATGGCAGTGGCTAGGAAAATTGAACGCCACTACAGGAAGACTGCTTTGCTGCGAATGCATCCTCCACCGAAGGCAAAAGTTCTGAAAGAATCGGTAAGGCCTACAATAAGTTGTATAATTCTAGCGAAGTGATGAACACAGTAAAAGGTCTGAGTGCTGGATGACTTGTAGTTTCTCTCATCGAATTGTTCGTGAAGTATAGAACAAAACAACAACACTGTCCCGAGAATATCAGCCAGCTCGTTGTCGCTGTCAGTAAGAGTTATCTCAGTGACAAATGCAATGGCTTACATACCGTTCACATCAAGGGTAGTAGTTGAGAAAAACTAGCATTGTTACCAACATGTAATGATCAAAGTATTATATCTGATCGCTGGTTGTTGCTCACATAAGTGGGCAAATTTTATCTGACTGAAAAAGAAACGTTCTACATATATTTTCAGGTCACCCTTTGTAACAGCATAGGCTTTCCTATAAATGGCACTTCATCGCAACAGTTATCAAGCGCTCTTGCCCCTTTTCGTTCTAACTCGCAGTTGATGAGGTCTATCAATCAAGTAGGTTTGAAAAATTTTCTGTTGTGCATGTACACCGTCACTTTACTCCAGGTTCTCTCTTTGATATTGATGAAAGCCATGGAGCTTGCAAGATATTTTTGTACTGGTTCTGTCAAAAGTCAAAGCGCATATCATCATTTCGCGCTAAACGTGCCATTGTAAGTTTTCTTAAGAATACTTTCGCTTTGCTGTAAAAAAGATGTTTTTCTTCTGTTTGCAGCTACACACATTTTACATCGCCAATCCGTCGTTATCCGGATATAATCGTGCATCGGTCGTTAGCTGCAGCTTTGGGTTATTGTGAGCCCTCCGAACGAAGTGTTGAGCAAATTCAAAAAATTGTAAACATTTTGTTCTTGATTCTTCTTTGCTATCGTCCTTTCACCTTTTTTAGGCTGAGCACTGCAATGACAAGAAACTAATAGCAAAGAAAGTTAGTGAATCCAGTGCGGAGCTGTTCTTTGGAGTACTTATACACGTAAGGAGTTCTATATTTGAAATAAAAGTTGCGGAGCAAATTTTTTCTTCAGAGAGTGGGACCAACGGAAGCAAAAGGAGTTGTTGTAAATGTCCTGGATGCTGCCTTTGATGTTCTGTTGTTCAAATACGGTGTAATCAAACGCGTCTATATCAATGTAAGACATTCACTTTTGCTTGGAAAAGAGTAATCTTGTATTTTTCTAGACGCTTGAAATGAGGCAAGCACCATCAATTCTCGAAAATCCAAACAGACTTATACTTTACTGGGAAACTGAAGATGGTGAGTAGTATGCCCTTGTGTCGGTGAGATCTATGATTATTTCCTTTTGCTTTTCAGGAACGTTTGAGCAATTGATACAGATGTGTACAGTTGTTGAAGTTATTTTGTCCAAGCTGCCAGAGCCAACAAAATTTCAAGCTGTGATCAAACCAAGACCCATAAAAGATTCGCCCACTCTTATGCAAATGTACATCAAACAACAATCTAGTGGTGGCGGTTCTGCCGATCTCAATTTCGACTCATTGCTCCTTGATTAGAGCAACTTTTGAATCTGTTTTACTTGTGTTCTTTCGCTGGTTTTATTTCTGACATTATGTTTTTTTGTTACATTGTGTACAGTCTGTGGGAAAATATTATGGATCAATCAGTATTATGTCGTAAAGGTCTAGCTTAATTCCAAACTGTACTTAACTGCAGCTGTTCTAGTCTTCAGTTTGTGCATTTATGTATCATACTTGATTACTGTGCAAATAAGTGATTTCGATTGGAATGAGAAAGGGTTGTCTTTTTTTTGGTGATATACCTCTCGTGTATAAAAAAGCACTGTATCAACTCTAGCATCCGGAATGTTTTGATTAGTTGTTAATATTATATTGTAGCTGTAGTTGCAGTGTTTTACCAGAGATAAAGCTGATTAGCAGCATTCATTATTCTCCTTGTATTGCCTGGTGTATTTCCAACATCTGATAACGTAGCTTACTCGTCTTTCTCACCTTTCATAATTTGTAAGCACTTTGATCTGCAGTGAGAGATGAGATTTATGTAGTAACTATAGCAAATAATGACTTAAAGGCAGCAGCTCGCCAAAACCGAACATTCCGAAATTTTGACATGGGATGTTGCTTGCACCCCAACCATGAGAATAGAGCAGGTCCAAGCGCACAGCGTGCTGCCCTTACACAGAAACGCCCATTACGCGCAAGCCATTCTAATTCGCGCAGATGAGCTCGCGATCCTCCCTGACGGGTGAAGGAACGAACACTTCAATTAGGTACCTCCTCCGCGGGCTGCTGATCCTTTCGTTCTACTGTTATGCATCGTGTTGGGACCAATAGTCCGCGGAGGCGGTGCCCAATTGAGGTGTTCGTTGAGGACCGGCCCGCCGCCCGTCACCGTCGGCTCACTACGCGCCGCAGTCCGCGTCGCACTGAAACTGATCATTGAAGCGCGTTTTTGCGCTGGCGTTGAAAATATGCAAAAAGAGTTAGCACCATGCTAGTACCCATCACCACTGTTCATCACTTTGTAATCACCTAGCATAGGCACATCTGCCCGAAAAGGACGAGGTCCACGGCAAATCCATGGCCTCATGCCGTATACCTTCCAGAACTCTACGAAGAAGCCTCGTTATGCAAAGATAAGTACCGTCTGCGCCCCAGAGAGGTTCCCATGTGAACCAGCGTGCGTACGTGATGCGACGCTGCCTTTCGCTCTTTTTGACACGTTTCTCTTGAGGTTTCAACGGAAGTGCCCGAGGTTAACACGTTCAAAAGTGCGAAAGGCAGCGAGATGACGTGGTACCTATGGGAACCTCTCCGGGGCGCAAACGATATGCTGTTTGTGTTTAGCATACCAGATAACCCTCTTAGACCAATCAAAGCCAAGTTTGTGGTTTTGACCCAGACACACAATGCAAGAAAAAAGTAAGTTGTCGGAAAATTTTCGTAAATAACGTGTGGGAGAATGGCCATCTATCGTGTTCCAGCAAAAATCACAGCTTTGAAATTTGAGACCTGGATGTTAGAATAGCGCCAATCTCATGGATGCGGAATGCTTGCACATTGCTATATAAAACCCCACCATCCGCTCAAGACTAGTGCGGGAAAAGGGGCTACACAACACGTGATCCTATCAGGGAAAACAGACTAAACAGCACAGCAACTCTATATTTCCACATCGCTTTACTAGTCATCTTCAGACAATGAGCGTGAATTGTGAAGCCTACAAGTCGTAGATGTTCATCCTTGTTGCGATGTCTGTTGCGAAAATTTCTCGTAGCGGATTTAGTGAGATTACTGTGACTTAATGAATGCGATAGTCTCGTTTGATAGGAAGGTATCGCCTCAAAACCACATTTAGCGACGTGTAAACCAATAGTTTTGGATTGGTATTACTGCCAGAACTCTGCCACGGATGAAGCTGATGAACTTATTGACAAATTTGGAATCCCGCTTAGGCCATATTCCCGTGACTGGACAAGCATGTGAGTGGACAGAGCCACTGCTCTAAATTTGCATACCATACTGACATCCTATCGTCCAACATGCCCACCATAAGGCCTTGTCTTCTTGGTGTGCAGAGTGAGTCTAATCCGGACCGCGCAAAAAAAGATCGTGATCTCAGCAACAGATTGCAATATTTTTATACATGTTCTATCCACTCTAAGGCTGCGTTCATACTGATTTCGTAATCCGGGAACAGTCTCAGCACAACGCTAACTTTGAGCGCTGTGCTGGAACTGTTCCCGACTTCGGGATCAGTATGAACGCAGCCTAATAATAAGAAGCTGACAATCAAAAATGGAGGAAAATTTTCGTCTGTGTAGACTCATGCCTTCTTCACTGCATGGTCTCTCCTTACTGCCTGCTCATATTTTACGTTTAACCCATAGTTGTGGTAGAAGCAATTGTTTGGCGTCTACCATGTGACACAAAAGCACACGAGGCAAAGTGATCGACTTGTTTAGCCAACAATTCCGCCCAACGGAGCCATAACGAAATCTACGCACAGAAATAACGTTTAAAAAACACTTTCCGTTTGGTAGCTTATAACAGTTGCGCAAAATTCTCATGTTCTTAATGAAACAAGTATACGAGTGCACGCGTCGCCTTTGAGCCGCGACGCGTACTGAGCCGACGGTGACGGGCGGCGGGCCGGTCCTCGTGTTCGTTCCTCCACCCCTCCCTGACCCGTCAGGAATGCATGCCGCAATGTTATATCTGCGAGGATCCTGCAGCGATTCTGCCTCTAACCATGGCGGGACTTGGTACACTCGTCCAAATTCAAAATGGGAGACCTTGAGAAATGGTGGTTTTTGCCACTTTCGCGCTCTTCAAGGTGGATCTTCGGAATCAGCGCTCGAATTACCCCAGGTAAGCCAAGAAAATTCAAGTCGAGAATCTGCCGAGTCCGTGCTTTAAGATGTCATTAAAAGTTCCATACGCTGATTACTAAACAACATTCTCTATACGCGGAATGAGTCTTGGTCTGAGCTTTTCTGAGTTTGAGCTGATAATGAATACTGTACTTCGAAATCATTTCAAAGCGCGTGGTAGAGAGGATGTTGGATACCTACAATGACTTCAAAGGTAAATGCGAGTTCGAACATGTTCTTTCACGAATTTTGATGGTAATTTATTGAAACGCGTTGGAAGGCGCTCTTACACTTGTTAGACGTACGCAAAGCGTGCTCATGTCTCATAGTCAGAGATCGAATGATATGCTTTCATAGGGTGGTACAGGTTGTCCGTGCAGGGTGCGGAATTGTGTACCTACTGCCCATCACACTTCTTTTTCATCTGCTGTCTGGGAACGTCGCAGATGCCGAGTTGGTAGAGATGAAGCATTCTAGGTCTTTTATAAACGCAGACAAATTATCAAATCACCACGTTACAGTATTGCTCTCAGCTCTCTCATCTTGAAGGGCTGTTTACGGACAAGAGCTCTATTCTTAAAAATATTTACTTGGAATTATCGCAATGCTTATTTCGGAAAGGTAGGTGCCAGAGGGAGGGCAAGAGGCGACAAAACGTGCAAATTGCAATTAACGTAAAGCCCGTAAGTCAAAACTATGTGCAATTTTTTTGATGGCGTCGAGTAATGTATCGGCCCCGACCCCCCACCCCCCTGTTTTTGGCGGAGGAGACGTTTTGCACGGGGAGTTATTTGGGGTCCAAAAAATCGGGGCCAGAGTAAGCGAATATTTTGTTCAGGTTGGGGTCCCGCGCAGAATTGACGTCTCTCACCATGCTGGCGTCAATCCAAGTGACGTCAAATCTGCGCGACCCCAACCTGAACAAAATATTCGCTTACTCTGGCACCTACCAAACACATCAGATGCGCGAAAACGGCAAGAACGCGGTTCTTTAAAGTTTTACAATGTAAAATACGGCACTTTCCGGCGAGGCTGAGATGCAGAGTCGCTGCCGGACCTTACGACTTCCAATGTGGCAGCATGCGTACTCTGCCGCAGAAGGAATTCAAACAGGTGAAGAGCCCCGTCCAAGGACGTTAGTTTCCCAGCATTTCGATCATATTTCTTGCTTGTAGTCAAGCGCCTCGCACTTGCGCGATGGTGTTCGGGGGGGGGGGGAGGCTACTTTCGCATGACGCGGAAATCGCGAAAACCCGCCTTGTTCCAGACACTACCTTTGAAGGCACGTCCACCCAGTTTCTCGACTTCATGATTTGATCGTTCCGGGGCTTTCATATGTCCCTGATTCCGAATATGAAGTCGAGATTCCACGACCCCAACAACCCCCGTCCGGAGAACCCGCAGGCCGGCTTTCCTGAACGGTGACTGGCTGGGCCTGCACGCATGGGCGGGCATGGATGGGAAGGGCGGTGCCGTCTGGGGGTCCTCGTGTACATCGTTATTCCGGAGCGATTTTCTCGCTTTCGAAGCGTGATTTTGCGACTGGGCATTGGCTACGGTAGGGGACTCAATATTATATGCTGCCAAAAGCTCAAGACCCTCACCTTTGGGTGGACGGTGCTTTTAAAGCCGCCTTGCTGAGCTGCCATCTTTGCATATGCACAGAACTGACAGCTATCATATAAGCATGGCACTTTTCAATAGTGAGATATGAAAAATTGCCAGCAAACGCTGTTGCTACCGCAAAATTCTTCACTAAGTTTAGATACTAAAGTCTAGGGCGTTCTATAGTGGGAAGGCGAGGTGCAAATACACCTTTCTCACATTTATTTACTCAATACTTCTGGTCTTCAGAAGTTCTTAGCATATAAAAATATACCTACATGTCCACTTCCAGTAAAGTGTACACCATTGTAATAATTCAAATTTTTCATGAGATGCTGAAAATGTCGCACATAAATCTTGCGCAGCCTCAACTTTTCTATCACTCTTTCTTCAACTCTGATGTCAAGAGGCGCTCATATTTACCTTGTACACTCGAACGGTTCTGTGTGCTAATTACCCAGCCACGTCCGATATCCCCGTCATCGTCTCCTTCGTGTTCATTGTCTATCGTCAGCCCCGCGCTGCATCGCCGTGCGTATCGATCTAGGCCACGGACGCGGAGCCAGTCGTTACTCGCTTGCGTTGATGTGTGGTTGCTGCGATTCGAGTGTCTTCATATATTTGATATATGTATTATTACTATTATTAAAGTTATGATTATGATCATTTCCAGAAAGTCTACAGGTCTACTTACACATGTCTCGACGAGGTGACTACGAGGCCAAAGTTTACATCGGTGGGCTTCCACATGATGCCACGTCACAGGAAGTGAGTAATTTTCGCGAGTATAAAAAAAGCATGTTTTTGCTAACATGGCAGATAACAAGTTCACAGATCATGAGTGTTTTGGTCGGTGTCCATTTATTTAAAATTACCCGTTAGAAGGCAAAACTTTGGATGATATTACCAGTAAATGATTTCTTCGAGCAAATAATCAGCAAACTTACAGTAACGATAGACGACCTCCGCTTCACCGATATATGGTGTATTCCCGCAGAACTGTTCCCATATGAACCATCAACGTGGCTATCTTTCGATCAAACATGTGAACTTTGAATAAGCGCCGTAATGATGGAGTTAACGTGTTAAAATGATCGAAAGGCAGCCACATAGTTTATATGGGAAGAAATCTGGGGGATGCACGATAAATCGTGTGTAGTCATCGTTTGAGTGGTCTAGCACGCATCGATACTACAACTGATTCAGCTGTCTCGCGCAAAGCTTGTTCATGGGACTTGAAAAAAACTAGAATGCTCTTTGAAAGATATTCGTCTGCAAATTTGACTTACTTCATTGTTGTCAAGACCATGGTAAGACTATATATTATAAGCCCCAAAATGGGGTATGACAAGGACAGCTCTGGTTTAGCGATGATTATAGCTTGACCTAGAACTTAGAGGTGCGAAGAGACTCAGAGCATGTCAGACCTTGTAAAATTGGGAGTCGTAAATAATTGCTGCCTTCTGTTTGCCTACGAAAAAGCAGAGTAAACAAATTTTTCATGGGTCAAAATTCTATACTATAGCATAGCTGCGGAAAACTTTCTTTACGTGCAAGAGTAATTGTTAAGCAGTAGTCGAGGTGCGACTTTCATGGTTGCGAAAGGCAAGTAGACTTCATGAATAGTTATCTCCGTTCAGGTCGAAGATGCCTTCCATAGCTTCGGACGAATTCGTAAAGTGTGGGTTGCTCGTCGTCCTCCAGGCTTCGCATTTGTGGAGTTCGAAGACACTAGAGACGCAGAGGATGCTGTGAAGGCACTTGATGGAGCGTAAGTTGCCGAGAAGATGTTTCGAATTTCAGGCTACCCATATTCTGTATTTAGGCGCATCTGTGGTGTGCGCGCTCGAGTCGAACTATCGCATGGTAAACGCCGTAATGGCAGCGGTGGTGACAGAGGAGGCGGTGGTGGTGGACGTGGTTATGGAGGCGGGTACGGCGGAGGTGGCGGTGGTAGAGGCGGTTATGGCGGAGGAGGCTATGGTGGACGCAGATCCAGGTAAGCTAAAGCAGATTTGAGTTCTTACGTGGTGAATGGAAACGTATCGAGAAGTGAATGTGAGAAATTCTTGTGACGTGTCGTGATCTTTGTGGGCATCGTAAATTTGTAGTCTATGCTGCTACAATTGAACTATCTTTTACGAATCCAACAAGGAAATGTCCTATGAGACGGATTAGGCGCTATGATTTCCAGCTTTTGAACAGAGTTGAGTTCGTGAAGATGCTGTTGTTAGCAAATGTATTTATTCTAAGATCTTACCTGGATGTATCTTGTATATAAAAAGGCGGATATGATTGGTTCAAAGTGTCGTTAGGTCTAACCTCATGATTATAGCAATGTTATCTCAAGAAGATCTCTGAGATTGCTTAGGTAAAGTGGTTTTGTTCGAAATCTTCTGTTGGGAGTAGTGGGGTTTGTTAAATGCCTTATTAGCATTTCTGGCTACGATTCAGTTGTAGCAGCAAATGTGTCTTTAGGTACTGAAAAATATTGTAGCAAAAAACAGGGATGCGGTAGATGGCTGAATGTAGTGAAAAGAAGGAAATCGTTTCATTAAATTCGAATGTTTTAGCGTTTGTGACCTACGTGTCCACCGCCATCTACCATCAATCTTCCCTACTCTCTCTTCTTTCTTCGTAACATAGTCTGCAACATCATCTTCATCTACACTTCATCAAACTTCACCCGCGTACAAATGCGTAGCCTGTAACCGTCGCTTTCTACTGTAAATGCGTCACTTCACCTTCCGGCTGCTTCATAGGAAACCAGAAGTACCACTTCAAACTTCTCACTGAGCACACTGCAAAATTTGATGCGCTGCAGGTAAAGTTTGGGGATCAAATGCTTCGTTAATTTTCTGGGACCCTTGTTTCGTAGGTTGCTCAAAGCTATACTTTTACTCTTTGTAGTTATTTTTCTTGTTTGGTTCTGGTGGGTATGTTTTCAGTGTGGTATATGCTATCATGCTTTGCTTAGGTCACGTTCGCGCAGCCGTTCTCCACCACGACGCAGTACACGATCTCGTTCTCCAGATGATAGAAGGACTCCTAGCAGGTAACATCAGTCTTTTTTCCAGCAAGTAATTGATTATATTCTATTTAAGAAGCCGCAGTCGCTCTCCCTAATCTTAGAAAGATCTACGCCGAATGGAGTGATCTCCTTGTGTTTTCTTCATCCTCATCTGTATGGAAATCATTTCTTATTCGTTGCCGCCGGGAAGACATCCATCGTCATTGTGCTGATTGTGTTCGTGTAAAGTTAACCATTGAACAAAATGAATTATTAACTTAAGTGTGGTGAAATTAACATACATAAAAAAGACGCCATTTAATCAGTTATTATTACCATACAATAATATAACTACAGCCTTGTATGGCTAAGCCCACAGGCTCAACGCCAGGAAGCTATGTGAATATTAACGTATTACTGAACGCCAAGATTTTCGTACATTTGCTTCCTTTCCGGAATGAAATGTCGTCTGATAGTGTGTCCGATCATTGCGGAAACTGCAGTCAGTCCCAATACAACTCCAGAGAATATAGTGGCTTTGTTTTGGAACGATTCCGCCAGTGTACGTTTACGTGTGCGTTCGCACAGATAGACTAAAATTTATGTTATCGTGCGCTTAGAAGAACACGGGTTAATTTGTAGGAAACAGAAAAATCCCTTAAACTGCGGTTTTCCATCTTTGAGAACTAAAAAATAATCTAGCAGAGGACATACGAAGAAAATAAGGCTGCAAATGCTTAATGTGCGATATTTTGGGCTGCACAAATTCAATGTGTTCTTGACACTTATGGACACGAGGATTTTAGAATTAAAAAAAGGAAATACATGCTTAGAAAAATTGAAATGGGCGCTCTTTATGTGAGGCGGCGAAAAAGAGCGTATGCTTTGCGTGCGCTTGGCTTAGATTCGTCCTAATAATCTTCTCGCCTTGTCCAAATCCGATAGCAAACGAAAATTAGCATATCGATTATGTTGAGACAATTTACTATAGTTGAGGAAAACCGAAAGTTGATGTGATTATTCTAAAACCCCAACCCAGAGAAGCCTAAAAACATCAAATATGGACTAGGTTTTACTGATGCATAGTCGGCTGGCATCCGTCACCAAGCCTAAAAGCAAACATAACATTAGGTTGGTCCGAAAGTTCTGTGGCACTATTTTCAAAAAAATCATAACTTCTTCGTATTACAATGTTTTTGCATGACTTTGAATTTATTAGAAAGAGTAAATCGCACACTTTACAAAGATATTTTGCGCACTCTAGCAAGCTCGGAGTGCAGAGATGAAAGTGGGAAAAGGAAATCACTTCAGTTTTGGAATCTGAGACAAGCCCGTTGAAAATTCCGAAACTGTGCCATAAAATCCAAAACAGTCAGCAACCTAGGTTTTTGATCCCCCTCTTTCTAGCTGACCAAAATTCGAACTAATTGAGCCCTTCTTTAAAAAGTTTTAATTTTTGGGAAAAAATGCCAAGAAATCAATGTTCTTAGGAAAGTGATTTTTTGGCATTTTTTCTCGAATCATAACTTGTTCACAGAAAAACTCGATCAGCGCGAATTTTGCTCAGCTAAGAAGAGGTTAAAAAACCTAGGCTACTGGCTGTTTTGGATTTTATGACATAGTTTTGAGATTTTTAAAGGGCTTGCCTCAAAACGAAATTGAAGTGACTTCCATTTTCCAATTTTATCTCTGCAATCAAAGCTTAATAGATAGCAGTCAAGGTGCTTTCAGAAAGCGCATGACTTGTACTTTTCAATAAAATTTTATTCATGCAGAAACAACGCGAAAGGAAGAAGTTAGGTTTTTTGAAAATGGTTCTATAGAACATTCGGACCAACCTAATATATACAATGACTTATACTAGCGCTTTCGACTCTACTTCAGAAACTGAGATTTGTGTTTTTGTGAGAAAGTAGTATGCTCGTTCTAACCGAATGCTCACTAAAAAAGATAGGCTTAAAAAAAGAAGGTAGATGCTGGTCTTCTCGATGTTTAGAGAAGTATTGTTAACCCCGAACGATAATCCCCTGTTTCATCAAGATCAGATTATCTGGCCGGGTTTTCATATGTGAAATATACTCACAATTGCTCTTGGGTCCATATGGCTGAACGTCGATATCCGGTGAAAATTCGGCGATCAGATCGCTGAAATATTCATCTTGAGGTGCAATTTGATTTCACTGCTCTAAAGTCCGCAAAACGTTTTGCCTATCGAGGTGTGAAATCTCTTCAAGGAATTTAGCTCAAAATAAGAGTATGGAAGCGTACTTGTATCCTTCTGAGTGCAAAGTGATATTGATACGATCCTTGCAAACATATTTCTGTGCCAATGGAGCTGTTATGATGATTGACGAGTTGTCAGACTTGAAAGTCACAGTTTCATCTGAATAGGAGAATACAACCAAGTAGACATTATAATAATGAATGTAGCTCATGATATTCTAACTAAAGCAGGGCATTTATTAATGTCTGAAAATTTCTGAATTTGCTGATATGACGATTTTGACAGTGAAGTTGGATTCTAGTTAAAAATTGCGTTCCCTTCATAGAAATCTGGTACCTGTCTATACATCTCTGATGGTTGTATCACAGTAACTTGTTTGGAAAACTAGAAAATTGTATGCACCCTTATAGCTCTCCTCATAGACCACATTGCGAAGCTGCCAGCGCAGTTCCTCGTATTTCTTCACGAGTACAGTTTTCTGGAGTATATCAGTTGTTTTCCATAATCTCTGTTTTTCGAATATTTGTGGATCTTACCGTGCCAAAATAAAATCGCATGACTTTTTCCCTATTATTGTGCACGGAAGTAGCTGTAAGCAACGCATCGCCCTTTGCTTCTTTGGCACAGTAGCCGGAAATAAATGCTGACGTAAGATCGAACTGAAAATAAGGTTAATTATTACATTTTTACTAATTTTATGTTTGTGAAAAACTTACCGGTAGACGATTTTGCGTACCATTGATGTTCAGATTTATGATTGTAACGGCAAATGTGACTCGAAGACAGATTTCATTCTGATAAAAAAGTGAGGATTAATGCAAAAAAAAATTTCTCGTTTTTTTTCGAAATGCTTGCATTTAAAGTGGATATTGACATGGATGAAAACTAAATAAAGAGGACCAACTCTAGAAGTTTCGAATCAAATATGATTTGGGATCATAAAATTTTACGAAACTCTATCAATAAAGACTTGCAGGTTGCTTGATCTTTCATGGAAGTTTCTAAATTGTTCGATTTTTCGAAGTTAAGAAAGAGTTTCCTGTTTCAGTTGCACAATGAATGTGTGCGGAAGCTGACACATTGCTTTACATCGCCGAGTTAGCTCATACGCACACGAACATGATTTTGTAGTACAACTAGTATAGACCTGCTTCGCTGCATCTTTGTAAGATTTGAAAAAAAAAGTTTTCGAAGGATTTGACTAATATTTTCAACCAATCACATTACACACAATATACCTTGCTGTCTCGCAAACCCACTGCTTTTGACTCGTAGTCAATGAATGAAGTGAAGTTGGACTGAGCGTTTGTGATAGAGATCAGAGCTGAAAATTAGCGGTTAGCCGAGATAGCTTCAGTCATGAATTTTATAAAAGACTGCAGGCTTAGTTCTGAGAAAACCACTAACAATATGATATAGCTCTAAATGTTCCTAGTGGATTAAAATCAATGAGTAATCTCAAATTGTTGAGGAAAACTAACCAATAAGTGCGGCTGTGATGCGCATGGCTTATTTCCATTGATTGCTAAATAACACATACGAGAGGCCCATTCTAAGCCCTAGGATTGGGCGTCGTCAAAGAGAGGAATTCGGCTCAGATGAGTGGTTGCGATGGGAGAAATGAAGGCTCAGTGAAGCACCCACTACACACGAATGCAGCGGTTGTATGACCTATATTTAATATCATACCAGGCTGAAAAATTAATTTCGGTCCTCACCGACGATCTGGAAAAGCATAATAGATCCCTACGTAGCGTTTTTAGCGAGAGGTTAAGTAAGTGGAAATCAGCTTTGAAAAACCTAACTTCTAAACGAAAGAACAAGATTTTGTCAGTTGCCACAGAAAAAAATTATTTTTTGGATATTTTGCTGAAATTGCTATTTCTAAGGCCGAGACAACTGTACAAAAGTTAGACTAAACAAAAAGCTAAAAGAATAACTAAAGTTTTTTTTTTGAAAAGCAGAATTGGTTAGATGCTCAGATTTTATAACATGTTGGAACCTGTTATTCTCTTTCAAGAGCCTTTATAAGGTCAATTACATGTGTAATGGTTTTTATACAGCTTGAATGCGAAGAACTCTGAGCAATATTTGTGCATGCAAGTGAGGTCACTTAAAACACCAGTGCGGGTGAGGGAACAGTCATGAAGAGAGACCAAGGATTTCCAAGATCTTGCCAATCTTTCTTTGCCATTTTTTTCTTTAGCATGAGAGTGAATTCAAGGCTATGCTCTTGCATGTTTCTATAGAGGGTGTTTCAAAAATATGTACGTTTTTAATCATTGACATCTTTCTTCCCGCAAACTCTTTTGCTTAACTTCACTTACATTTTGTAGGACTGGATTAAACTTATATTTACATTATAATGCGAATCTGGTCAATCTTGACTATTATAGAATCACGGTGGGAACTTTCACGCGTTCTGAGGTAGGCCCTTTATATCTTCAGGTTTCAATACAAACCGCAGTCTTGGTTAGTGTTCCTGTGATAAACCTTAATTACACAAGTTTGAGGTGTCGCAGTCAGAGTACCGAACTACCGTGCACGCGCTAAGTTAAAAATTTAAGGAGGAGGGTAGGAGGGCTAAGTTTTTGATTGAATATGAAAACAAGAAGCAGCTCCTTGGACTGGAGAGGGCATCGGTAACCGCCGCAGATCGCTCATAAACCCGTCTCCGTAAAGATTCAGGAGCATTCCTTCCTTACTCGAAAAGAGTACCTTCATCCATGTTGTGTCGTTTTGCATCTTGTCTCTGTTACTTGTGCAATTTGACTCAAACAGTGCCAGTGTTGGTAAGATTAAAAGTACTCACAAGTCAATTCGAAGCAAGGAAGGCGCAAACATTCGATATTTCCACATCTCCAAAATTTGATGACTCAAATCTCATCTAATAAAACATCGTTGAAGACTAAGTTGATGGTGTGTGGTGGGTGCAGAAGTTGTGAGCGCACTTATTTCAATAGAGAAGTTCGCTGTGATTGATTTTTAAAATCATGTTTTGGTTAAAGCTTTCCCATGCAGCCTGGGAGCTGTCAAAACCTCTCCTGTTTGATCGGTCTGGCACAAGCCCTCCGCTTTTGTGGCTGAAAAAATGGATCCTTGGTTTTTAAGCTTCAAAGGATCTTTGTTTTGTTGATGCTGCCGTGATAATTTGAACAAAAATTTGGAGTGATCGAATTTTGAATTATGTACATAGACATGATTGATGCCCAAAAATGAGTTTTCCTGCAGTCGCACTTCATTTGCTGGGAATTGTTGTGCTGGAAGCCGTTCGCGAAAAAAAATTACGTTTTTCTGCGCTCGGAACTGGTTGACTGTTGACTCTTGCTCTACGTGAACGGCAATCAAAAGCACGAGGAAGGTGGAGTACCAGAGGATGTCCCTAAGGCTGAATTCATAATGATTCGGAAATTCTGGAACAGTCCCAGCACAGTTCTCGCACTTTGCTGCACCGTGCCGAAACTGTGCTGCATGCGCTGTAACCGCCCATATGCGGTTTTTGCGATAGCTGCAAAGATTTTTGACCGATCTCATCTGTTTTCCTCTTAGATTTCACTCATTTCGGGCTCATTCCTCTACGCCCGCCACAATCCTTTGATGGGAAAAGCTGCGAACTTGAAGCCGAGTTGGAGAATGAGCGCAGTTTCGCTTCTATGTATTCGAGAATATGTGCCTTCCTGCTCTCGTCCATTCTCCCTTCGTTATTTTTGTTCAGAACTACTTCATGTTTTCCGGGAAGCCACGGCTTAGTTTTCACAGGCTATATTTTGAGCCGGAGTATGCTCGATTCTTAAAACGTGGAAAATTGGGCCTTTCTTTAATTTCTCAGCTCCTTTCCTTTTTCCATATCATTACTTGACTTCTTTTTGTACCCCGCATCTCGTAAGGAAAAAAGATGCAAACTTGAAGCGAGTTGACTTATTCTATTTCATGCATCCAAGAATATGGGTCCTCGTGCGCACGTCCATTATTTCTTCGTTATTTTGTTCAGTCCTACTTCATGTGTTCTAGAAAGCTGCTTATGACCCTTTCAATACAGATCGGGACTCGCAGCGGCTTCCTGGAACACATGAAGTCGTTCTGAACAAAAATTACGAAGAGGGAAAGGACAAGCACAAGAAGACACATCTTCCCGAATACCTAGAAGCACCTCTGCATTGCAGAGGTTCGCACTGGCCCTCATGAAAAGTGTAAGTGAACTTACGTAATGACCTTCGCCTTCATCATTCTTCAATGGAAATACCGTTGAGTAATCACAAAAATAAACCTTACTTGTTTTGCAACCCTCACATGCATTGAAGTAGTGTAAATCACTCCTCACTGTAATTTCGTAACAGACGGACTTACAGACCGACAAATTAGCGGCTTATTATAAGTCATTTATATATATATAAAACTCAAAAATTGTCAGTTTGGAGGGTATGTGCGTTATAGAAATGCGCGCCGCTCAACCAATTCAGCTGAAACTTTGCACACATATGTTTTCGACCCCTGCGCAGATGATAGGCTACTTTTTGCGGCGATTCGTTTGGTCCTTCTATCGATTTATTGATTTGTTTACGTTTTTCTAAGGAATTGAAGGCTTATCATGTTCAGTCAAGCATTTTCCCATAATCTGTAAAGGAGGGCGGTGAAGCTCATTTTAACCTCATTATCACGAGGATGCGGTTTGAAGCGGATGTCCCTAGGGTAAGTCATCCATAACATATAAGGGGGGGGGGGCTTGCAGTGCAAGTGAACGGAACAAGGCCCGGGCTGGACCGGGAAAGCCAACTAGTGATATATAAAACTCAATGTCTGTGAGGATGTTCGTTTAGTTGCTCGTTCGTTATAGAAACGGGCGCCACTGAACCAATCCAGCTGAAACTTTGCACACATATGTTTTCGACCCCGGCGGTGGTCCAGGGGTACTTTTTTCGGCGATTCGCTGGGTCCTTCCATCGATTTTATTGATTTGTTTACTTCAATCTAAGAAAATGAAAGGCTATCATGCCAACCGATCATTTTTCCATAATCATGTAAGCAGGGGTGGTAATGTCCACTTCAATCTCAAAGTCGGGAGGTTGCGGCAATTCGTCTCAAAGCGCCTTTGCGCATGTTAGAAGAAGTTTGAGAGCGTAAGTTCGCACGTTCAGTTGGCTAAACTAATTTGGTGCCTCGGGCGAGACCGAGGCCACCAGCTAGTCTTATATAAAGTCGAGTAGATTTCACGGTAAATATAGTGCGCCTGCAGACGCGGCAGCACTGGAGCGTCAATAATTGCCTTGCGAGTTTCCAAGCTAATGTTTTCTAGTGTTTTCTTTGCTTATACTTTGCTTTTTAGGTAATTTGTTGCTGATAAAGAAGAAAAGGGTAACTTAGAGAGTAGTGTTTGTTTCCTGAGAAGTATTATCATGGCATATTCCCAGATATCTACGTGGAAGCAGTTTGCGTCAGCTTCTTTTCTATTTTTTGTCATTTGCTTTTCTTTTGTCACTTCAAACCTCTTTCTTCTTGTGAGGCGTTTCTTTAAACGCTAGTTGGCTTGTCTTGCAGCAACTTCGGCTTTCACCCATACGAAATAGCATTTGATAAAGCACTTCATGTGACAAACACAACAGGTCAATCGCAAAAACCCACTAGCGTTCAAAGAAGTACTTCACGAGAAGAAAGAGAACTGAAGTGACAAAAAATACGCATAAAACTGATGCGATTAACTTCCACGTAGATATCTGAGAATAAGCGATGACATAGATACTCAGCAGTGGCGGACCGAGGGGGGGGGGGAGGGGGGGGCGCGCCCCCCCCCCCGAGAATGGGTCGCGAAATTTTTGAAACTTACCTATATGGGTTGTAAAATGTGCAAACGACTTGTTTGCATTTGAAAATAATTAAAATAATTTTTAAAATTTTTTAAAAATTCATTTTAGCCTTATAAAAAATTTTTTTCGGGGGCGTGGCTGACGCCACGCCCCCTTTTTTCAAACTTCAGGGGTCGGGGACCCGCAAAAATTTTGAGAAGTACCCCAAAAATTTTTTCGGAGTGCGTGGCTAACGCCACGCACCTTCTTTAGAAAAAAAATTTTGTCGCACCCCCCCCCCCCCCCCCGAAAAGAATTTCTCGGACCGCCACTGATACTCAGAAAACAGAAATTGTCCTCTAACTTACCCTTTTCTCCTTTATCAGCAACGGGTTACCTAGAAAGTTATGAATAAGCAAAGAAAACACTAGAAAACATTCGCTCGGAAACGCGCAAGGCAATTATTGACGTCCCAGCGTTGTCGCGTCTGCAGGCGCACTATACGACACCCTGTCCGTAAAAAATGTGCCTACTGTTTGATTGTGAATAACTCTCTTCTAACGAAGTCTTTCGAGAAGCTTTAGGCACCATTTTGTAGAGCGAGGTTCAACTTAGATTCGCAGTATAGAGCGAATCACCGAGCTCTTTTTATTACTGTAGGATTACGGTAGGAACTTCGACAAGGATATTAGGTCTTTGGAGACCATAATCTGCCTCGGAACATAACCAAACAAGCCGGAAATTCTTACACTATGGTAATGCAAGCCGCTCTTTTCGAATATGAAATTTTCACTTTATTGTGATGCCTCTTTCCTAAGTTACCCCAGGTGAACCGTAATAATTGAATTTCCAGCATTTTTCAGAAATGTG